GCTTTAAAATTTGTCCAGCATACTTCATAAAAGTCTTCTCAACTTGGTTTGGTTCAGATCACCTACTATGTATCCCATACTGCCAGGCACCAGATATATAAGGAATAAAATACACTTTCTACTAAAGAACGTTTTTGTATGTGATTAGTACCCTTCCTTCAAACAAATCTTTACAGTTCCTTCACCTCCACCCACCCTCTCCAGTTATTTTATGAGGTTTCGTTAGGAACCCACCTGCTTGGATCCTGTGATCCACGGTCATCCTTAGCTTTCCATATGAGGGCCTCCGTTTCCCTAACCTTCCCTAAAGGCAGGGTTAAAACCCCGTGCTTTTCCTTTCCTCCGTCTCATTCATTCTTTTAGGTAAGTAACTGGAAGCTTGAGACAAAAGGCTCATAAAAATTTATCATGTATATTCCAGAAAGCCAGCGTACACACAGACTTCTTTGAGTAAACAGGAAACTATCAACCCCATGCAGGAAATGACCTTCTTTGAGGGCAACGAAGGTGCCGCTGGCTTTCCTCTTTTCCTTTAGTTCCCTTCTAAACTCATTTCCGGGTTTCAATCAATTTGGTCCATCACTACAATAACAGAGTCCCGCTGGCTCTTCCAAGGCCCACCCTAGATAACGTCCCTGCAAAGCTCAACCAATCAGTAGTTGGGGAAGGAGGTACCAAAATAATCTTCACTTCCTCCCCAAATAGCCACCCCCCACGCTTGCGTCATCCTGATAGATTCCTTAGGTAGCCAATCAACAAGCAACCTTGGGCCCAGCCTACCTTAAACCCAATCAATTAAAATGAAGACGGGGAATTAGGGCGGAGAATGGAAAACTTGCCCCTCTTTTGGAAATAGCTTGGAGAGGTGCGTCCGGACCTCATGAACTTAGAATTCTTCGACTAGCGATCATAGCTTACTATATATTTCAAATGCCCCAGTTCTGTCCCCCTTCGACCCCACCCCAAAATGAGTCCCACCCCTCACAGTACCCCTCCCCCGCAACTCAGTAGAACACATCCCCATCCTGAATCCTCCGGAAAGAACCAAACCCCCATGCTCGGGGCTTTACACGCTCCTCCCCGCATCAGTAGAGTAGGGAGAGGGAGAGACCCCACAGCCCCTGGCGACAGTCTTTCCATTCAGTGCGTCTCTTCCTTCCCCACGTTCCCCGGTAGGAGCTGACACGGGAGTGGGAGGAGCTGAGTGCTTGCTCTACTAGGGGAGCGGCTAAAGCTTCTTAAGGTGGAACAGAACTGTTAGGTGGCTGGGCCTCAAAACAACTAGGGTGTGACGTCCTCCTGTCTCTCAATCTCGCTTCCCGTAGTTTCTCATCTCTGTCCCCTCGCCTTAGTTCTACTCTCATTTTTTATTACGAATAAACAGGTTAAGTAGAGGATACAAAGTTAAATTAATAAACAAATAATAAACAAGTAAAGGAAATACAAACCATAGAGAGAGCTTTTCCTTTATGATTTAACCTCTTCTGCTGTGTCCTACTCTCCCCCCCTCGCCCCCACCCAAGGTTGCCTTCTAAAGTAGCTAGCTAGAATTTTGTCTGATAAACCGTGAATCGTTTTGCATGTTGTTTATTCTCTCCCCACTAAAGGAAGCAAGGACCTGTGTTGAGTGGCTGCGGGTTATCTTTTATCCTTTTACCACTGGTCCCTGTGGCTGGAAGAGTGAAAGTGGTATATTTTGTGGCCTTGCAGTCTTGACTTTGGCTCTGTGTTCTCATTAGTAAAATGGGGATGATAATACTTACGTCGTAGGTTTAGTGTGAGTACCAAAAGACATAGTGTAAAAGAAAACACGTTGTAATCTGAAAGGTGTAAATAAACGTTAGATAATATAAATACAAATCATATAACAGTAAACATTTACATCATCCTTGCTGTGTTCCAGCATTTTTGAACAGTATTTTTTAAAACTTTATTTTGTAAAACTTCAGACATACAAAATAAGAGAGAATGGTATTTTTTTAAATGTATTAAGCAACACTTGGCCAACCTTTTATCATCTACGCCTCTCTCCCCCATTACTTGATTATTTTGAAGTAAATTTCTGGCATCTCATGACTACTTCCAAATGCACCTTTAAAAGATAAAGATTCTTAAATAATCACACAATTCTATTAGCACATCTAAAATATAACAGTATTCCTTGATATCACTAAAGTCAGAACTGAAATTTCACCAATTGCTTCATATTTGCTCCAGCTGCTTTGTTCAAATTAGGATTCCCCCCAACTGTCCACATATAGCATTTGATGGATATGTCTCTTGATCCATATATATTATATTTGCTTTATGTGTGTTTTAAGCCTCTTTTAATCTCTAGGTTCCCCTTCCCTCATGCACTTATCTAAATGTATTACATGCATGAAATCACAGTCCCTCCACAGATACTATTATTATCCCCATTTTACTGATGAGATATTGAGTAACAAAGCAGTTAAATAACTTAAGTTCTCAGTTGAGTGCCAAAGCTGTGATTTGAATACATGAATCTTATCCACTATAGTATGTTTCATATAATACACAGGTCTTTCAGAAATGCTAACAAAATGTATATTGTGGCATATTCACCAATATTATGAAGAAGCTTTTTGCTCAAGGTTGGCTAACACTCATGAAGAATTATATAATGTTCTGTTATAGAAAAGGGTGGATCTTACGTTTTGATTCCTTGCATGTTTCAGTGACTATATTTTTATTCTGCTTCATATCACCCTCCTTAATAGAAAATAAAGGGAGAATGAATGCAAGTGCTTAGGGCAAAAACCAAACCAAACCAGCCTAATCAATTTTTTGGGGATTTTTTTAGTTTAAAAAATTACATAAGCAAAACCCATAAAAACACTAATTACAGATATAGTAGAAAATGAGGTATAAATTAAAATAATCTTTAAGCTGACATCTTTGGTGTATATCCATCTATATATGTGTGTATATATTTATGTACAAATATATACATATACATGTACATATTTTAAAGAGCAACTATGTAATCATATTATACAAACTTTTAAAACATGATTTTCTCACTGGGATATATTCAGGTAATTGAAAAAAATTGGTTCTTTAAAATAACACGAGCCTATTGCAAAATATCTAAACGGTAAAGAAGATATAAAAAGAAAAGCAACTCCTCACTAATTCTAACTTCCAGCGTTAAAGACAATTACTACTCTTTAAAAAGCTAAGTACTATTCTACTATATAGATATACCTTAGTTTATTTAAGTTACCCTATTATGGACATTTAAGTTGTTTCTAAATTTTTGCAGTTGCAAATAATGCTGCAGCGAATACCTTGTATATATCATATAAGTTCTTGAGCTTTTTATTTTTCTAAATTTCCTGAAAAAGAGACTCTAATCCTTCCTAGCATCCCCATTTTTAGTACTTGCACCTCTCTACTCCTGCCCCCCAAATTCCATATACATACATAGAAAATGTCAAAAAGGGCTGAAAAAAGAAACAAAACATAGCAAGAAACATTTGACACCAAATTATCTGTATGTAGGGGGGAATGAGTTGATGTTTCAAAGAAGTGGGGAGAAAATACAGCTTTATAACCTGATATTGGAAGGGTGGGGAGAAAGAAAAGGCTTGACTGGGCTTCACTTCCTTTAAGTTTAAAGATGACTTTTGATTCTGATAGTTAAAAACAATGGAACACAAGTTCTTTAGATTTGTTAGTTTAAATCCTGACTTTGCTACTTACTAATCATGTTAACTTAGATATAGTCAATATCTCTAAGTCACAGTTTTCTCATCTATGACATAGGTATAATAATAGTGCCTTATTGGACTTCTAGAAAAATTAAATGTAGTAATACATGCAGAGTGCTTAGCTCAATGCCTGGCATATTGTAAATATAATGTAATTTTATATATGTATAATTCAAATAAAATATAGTATCATATTTAGCCAGAAGACAAAAGACTTTACTATCTAAATGTAAAATAAAGCTACTGTAATCTTGAGTATGCAGCCTTTTTTTTGAGCAGCTCAAATATTTCACGCATAGTATTTTTGCTTGCTTTCATATTATTTTATGTGATAGAGAGTACAGGAGAATGAGAAAAATTTAATAGGCCAGAGGATGCAATATAAAAGAGTTTGCCGAGGAATAATGTGACTCCAGGAGTAAAAGTATAGGTGGGCTGGGAGATGGTTATTTTCTGTCTTGGGTGGGGATTATTCTGTAAGGGGCAGAGAATGAGAACATTCTACACTCTGTGACCATAATAAGATATGTTATAGGGTCGTCACGCGAACTGAGCGAGTCATATTTTGTATCCTATACAGTTTAAAAAGCATTTTCACGTTAATTATCTTCTTTACAACACCCGTACTGGGTAGACACGGCAAGTATCAAGGTCCTCTCTTTGCTGATCAAGATTCCATAGAACAAGGGCCTTGCACAACTTGACAAAGCTAGATTTTGTTTAGTTCAGAGTTATCTCCGTTACACGCTCACTTATCCCTTCATACATTCACTTATTCAACAGCATTTATTGAACTCCAGGATATGAGGGTTAAGTTCATCCCAACCCTCATAACCCTTTATAAACTATCTCAGAGGAAAGAGAAGCCCACCAAAACTATTTCTGTGAAAAACAGAGATGGTTATCTGCATACGGACAACAGAATGAAAAAAGGTCAGCGTACCAGGATTAGTGTTAAACTGGAATTGACAGTTCGTGTATAGTTTGAACGAGGGAATCTCCGGATAGAGAGCAGTGGGTCGTCTCCTTGGATGGATGGCACGCTGCACAGAGCGAGGGTGCCAGGTGACCGCTGGAGGGGGGCGAGCGGCGACGCGCGTCCCCCAGGAGCAAGAGTACCGTGGCGCGGCTCTCCTGGCGCAGCGCCCCCGGGCGGCGCAGCCCGCGGCTCTGCGCTTCCCGCTCCTCCTTAACCCGCGTGGGGAGGCTGCGGCGGCGGCGGCCCGGAGGGCGGGGGAGGGGGAGGGGCGCGGAGCGCGGCGCGGAGGCCGGGGAGGAGCCGGGGCCTGCAGCGGAGCCGAGCCGAGCCCGAGCCGAGCCCTGACACTGTCCGTCTGCCTTCTGGCTCTTTGGGAGCCCGGACTGGCCGGAGCCCCAGAGGTGGCAGCGCGGGGAGCCCCACGCGCGAAGGGAGCGGACCGGACCGGACGGGACTAGAGGAGGCGCTGCCGCCACAGTAGCCACTGACGGGAGTCCGGAGCCGCGGCCTCTCGGACCCTGCTGCCCAGGCGGGCCCAGGGAGAGCGGGGAGTACGAAAACCCCACCCTCTGGGGCACCCCGGGAGCGGAGGCAGGAGTGGGGACCGGAGCCGCCTTTGCCTGTGCAAGAGAAGACCCTTACCACCCGGGCGAGGGAAAGAAGAGACCCTTATAGGGGACGAGCCTCTCCTTCCTGGAGACGAGGAAATCCCTACACTGGCCCGGGAATAGACCTCCAGAAGTAGAAGGGGGCGATCCTTACTAAAGGAAGCAGAGTGAGACGGCCCCGGCGTGTCTCCACCCCTCCAAACACACTCTCAACACTTCGGGACTTTTGAGGCAAAGAGAAAGGGAGTATGCCGATGGAGTAGGCACTCTCCATCACCTCCAGTAACCACAGGGGAGAGGAGTCTTACATTCAGAAGCAGAGGACACGCCAGGCAAAGAAGAGGAATCGGCTTTCAGCCTTTCGGGAGAGGGGACGAACTCTCCCCTCAACTTCCTTGTACCTAGACAGTGGAACAGGGCAGAACCCCTGCGCTCAGATCTCCATCGGGCAGAGAGAGCACTCCACTCCCGAAAGATCCGGTTTGGGGGGGAGGGGGACTCCCCCAAGGGGGAGGAGACCGCTCCTGGTTTGGAGAGCCTCCTCCCCTCCTCCCCAGGGTATCAGGCAGAGTGTGGGGGGTGTGCCACCTTCCCCAAGTAGGACCTCCTTCTCCACCTCCCCCCACTCCACCTCCCTGTGCACCTCATCCTCAGGGGACCCAGTTCCCCTCCCCAGCTTGGGAGGCTCAGCCAAGCCCAGGAAGAGCCACTGAGGATGAGACTCTTCATCTGCCTTTGAAGAGGGGAATCCCTCCAACCCCAAACTCCAGTACCAGGGGGTTCCCTCCCTTTGCTGGGGGAACCTTGGAGACAGGTTAGTGCATTCTCCCATTTCTCTGTCATCTTTAGGCACTAGTGTGTGTAGGGGAATGAGATGGTGGCTCTTGGGTTTCATTACTGGGGAGGGTAGAGTGGTAACTCAAGAGAATCTTCTGGGAATTGTGTTCTGAGGAAGCTTCTGGATTGGAGCCCACATCTTGCTGAAGAGGCCCTGAGACAGGTTTTTTTAGTGTTTGGGGACTGATGGGATAGGAGTCATCTGAGGTCCCTAGGGAAGTGTATGTTGCCATGCTGACAGCAAAGGGATGTCAGAGAACGCCTGCATTTTCAGAACTCCACCCCTACTGTATAGCAACGATTGACATATCCCAACCAGACTCCCATACCACCCTCCATCCTTGGGCCCTCTCACTCGGAGAGTGGGCCCTCACTAAAGTTATGATGGCATTTCATGGCCTGGCCTTGTTTAGGGTTTCCATTGGCATTATATTTTCTTATCTGCAACCTAGGTCAGCTCTCCCTCCACCAGAGCTGCTCTCTCCAACCCACTGTGATTACTGTTCCCTTGACAAGAAAAGCAGCCTGTTCCCGCTCACCAAACCTCAGATACCAAGAGGCCTCCTTTCGTGCTATTCCTGCACCTGGCTGGAAGCTTGTCTCTGCCAATAGAATCCAAAGGGATATGGGAGTCCCACATGTCCCAAGACAAGAAGTAAGGGCATAGGGGAATGCCAACTCTTGGGTTGAAGTTCTTCCCTAATGCTGACCCTGTACCACTGCCCCAATCCCTTACCTGGCTCCTGTCCTTTGCTGACAGTTTCTTAAAATAAAATAAAATAGAATAAAAAATCAGATCCTGCATGGGAAGAGAGGAGTGAGGAGTGTTCTGCTCAGCCTCCTTCCAGCTTCCATCTAAATATGTTGGCCACCATGGAGATCTGACCTCTGAGGAGTTTCCTTTCATAAAAGCACCTAATAATCATCTTCTCCCTTCCTGTTTCTTGTTCAGTTCTGGGTCCCTGGAACCTTGTATTTAAGTTTTCCTTCATAAGATAGGAGCAGGAGTCATCAAAATCTAGAATCTTCAGAAAATGCAGGAAAAAAGTGCCAGATAATCCTTCTTGCTGAGCCTGGGCTATGTGTTTAGTAGAGCTCTGCCTTTCAACCTGGCATCACTAACTAGGTGCCTGCCTCCCTGCTTTGCCATTAGGAAGTATCTTCTGTGAGGGGTATTACACCCCACAGCAAAGCCAAGTGGGAGGCTTAATCTTGCTTGGGATTATCCGTTTTCTCCTCTCTCTGTCTGGGCCATGGATGGATGACCTAAGTCCTTAAGTACACCCACTTGGTCCTGGAAGCTACCTGTTAGTAGTGGTATAGGAGTTTAGGAGACAGGGCTGTAATCCAGGTTTGTATTGCTGTGCTTTAGAACCATGTGCATATGTTTCTTAATTCAGGTGAATGTGGCCCTATCTCTGTGTTTCAAGTGGGTATGTACCTGGAGACAGGTACCTGTGTGCCTTTCAGACAGTGCCTCCAATTACCTAGAGTTACATGTTTCTGGTAGATCTCTAAAAGCAGGTGCCTCTGTGCAAGGACCTGGGGAAGGTGCTGATAAGGATACCTGGCTGGGAGGAAAGGCCTGGCCTCCCCTGTCCAGTGGGAGCCCTCACGAATGGCTCCATGAGAGTCATCCCAAACTGCAGGACAGCCCAGTCTCAGGTTGGGACCCCGCCTTCTAGGACTAATAAGAGAGTTTCGTTTCTGATATCTTTGATCTCAAAAGCATGAGGATCCTTGGCTCTGAACCCTAGAACTCCCTCCCCAACTTTTTGAAAAGAGCTGGCTTTGGTGTAACAGCAGCCTATTTCTTACAAAGTACTTTCACAGATGCTGGAATGCAACTTGTTGAATGGCTCAGAGTGAACAGCATCACAACACCTGCAGGCATACCACCACCACATAGCTTCCCTGCTTGCTTTGAGTTTCCCTAATTCTTCTTTCCTCTGTGGAATCAGTTAGAAGCACATAGCTATGGGGTTGAATGAACTGTGATTTAGAGCTACTTAGGTGATATTCCCCCATTCCTTCATCCTTGGAGTTTACTTGGTCCTGGCATTGGTCAGCAATGGGATGATACTATCCTCAAAGGAAAGGCTTGAGATTCTGACATCCCAACAACTATTGCAAACTCAGTGCAGGCTTTGCAAGGTAAACCATTGCAGGCTTTCTGCTTCTAGTCTTACCTATATGACTGTCAGTTTTCTAATTTTTAATTTAGAATATTCTCTTCTTTTCCCATCCAAAAATAATCATAGCTACATTTACTAAGAGCTTTAAAATATTAACTCAAGGTAATCCAAACAACAACCCTATGTAGGTACAATTATCATCTCTGTAGATGAAGAAACTACAACATACAGAGGTTAAGTAACTTGCCTGAGGTTGCACAGCCAGCAGGTAGTGGAGCCAGAATTGAAACTGAGGCAGCCTGGCTGGTACTTGGTAATGTGGTTAACTTCACCACTGCTCTATTGATTTTGGCATTATGTACAAAGCAGGAAGTTATCACTCCTTAATACCTGACCTTGGTACTGTACAGAGAACAATTACTGGCCTTTCAGATAAAATGGGAAGAAAACTGTGGCTATAATTTAATTTTGGATCTTACACGTCTAATCCAGGATCAGTCTTATACTCCAACAGAATGTCTTTCTGTTTTTCTCTGCCTTTCTCCCAGTACTGTAGTCTTCATTAGACGTCCTGTGGATGTGATGGAGCCTGTCCTTTGGCTGCCTTTCCCAGTTTCTATGGGTATTTCCTTTCAGTCTTCCAGCACACAGAGAAGAATGTGGCCTGACTCAGGTTCTGCCCAAGCCCAGTGGCACGAGGCCCACCTGGAGAGGTCTGGGTAACTAGGTTGGTTGGACTGAGAAATGGAAGTCCCTCTTGTTTGCCTTTCTAATAATAGCTCGAGCATTAGCCTCATGCCATTATTTTGGGGAGCATGGAATGTGTGGCAGCCACGAGCTCATTAAGCTTCATTCACTTCCCTCCAGGGATGAAGCTTTGGCAGGGTTTATGACTTCGTCCCTTTTATTGAAGGGGGAAACTGAGGCATCAAGACTTCAGGGAGCAAGGGGTGGTTAGGGACACTTAGTGAGTCAGTGTCAATGTTGGGAATGGAATGGAGGAACCTCAATCTCTGAGGCTCTTCATACTGGGCTGCCCTTTAAGAATGGGGAAGTGACGGAGTGAGGAACTGGGATGGGTTAAAGGAGAATGGTGCTGAAAGAGCAGAAGGATCTTTTGCTGCAAGCTTCTTGTAGCTGGTAAGACGAATATATTTTGAGTGCTGGGGTGGTAATCTGGAGGGCTGACTGGGAGGGTGCTGGAGAAAGGTTAAATTTAACCTCGGTGTCCTAACCTGGTGCTGTGGTAAGGATAGGGAAGGGCATAGAACAACTAGCAGAAGGCTGAGAGTGCTACCCTTTCGGGAAGCCACAGTGACTGGCATGTGCCAAATGGGTTCTGTAAGCCCCCTCACTGCTTTAAATCTACTCTCATGCTCCTGTCCAATGTTGTTTCAAATGAAATATCCACTAAAGGCTTCCGGGTTCTTAAGCTGAGCTTTCCTAGAGAATCTTTAGCAGGACATCATAGGGTAAAACTTCTTTACAGACCTCCCCTTCTGGGGAGGACCCAGGAGAACCCTTGTCTTTGACAACCTGCTTGTTGTCATGTGATTGTCCAACTGGGATAACCCAACTGCCCAAAGTGCCCTGCTTTATCCCAGAGGCTGTGGTGTTTTGACTTAGTATACTGCTAGGAGGTCTGAGGTTTCCTGAAATGATTAAATGTCCCCATTAGTTTCTAAGTTTACATGGTGGTGGGATAAAAAGGAGGGTGGTGGGGAGAGAAGAAAATAAGGATAAAGGGGAAACCCCTTCCTGAAGCTATTTATAAACATGGCTTTTTTTTTTTTCCTTTTAATCTTTCTTCTATCAAGCAATTCTTGGGTTGCAGTTGGGTCTGACGGCCCAGGCCCCTGAGGCACTAAGGCGTTTCCTTCAGCCTGGTTGAGTGGGTGTGTTGCTGGTGAGGAGAGCAGGGCAGGGTACTTGTGTGTACCTGCAAAGATTGTGTGGGTGGGGACCTTGAGGGAGAGGATGAATGTGAGTGCTGACCCTTAGGAGAAAGGGGTAAGTGTCAAGGGGAGGAGAGTCACTGACTAGAAGAGTGACTGACAGACTGAAAGATGTGTTGGAGTCAGGAGAAGGGTAGGCAGCCATAGCTAGGATTAGCTTTGAAAGGCAAAGTGTGTGGATTTGTGTATAGTTGTATGTATATGCTTGTGCATAGTATCTGGGTGTGGATTTAGAGATTTCATACATAACATGTTTCTGTCCAGGATTCTGAACTCTGAGGCATGCTAGAGAAATGCCCTGTGGTGGGACTGTCAGCAGGGATAGGAGGAAGAAATACTAGTTGGAATCTGGAGGCTGTGCAGGCACAAACCTGTTAGGCAGCAAGTGCTTAGGGGGTTGCTGGCATCAGCTCTAGGGGAGTGCCAAATGGCTACCAAGTGGTTCCTGCCAGCCTTTCTACACCCAGTAATACAAATGTCACCCATCGTTCTTCTCCTTCCCCCACCAAGACCTCACTCTAGCCATACCTCTCTGCCAGTAAGAGTGCCCAGGCTGTGTGGGTGGGTGGCAGCAGGGCGTGCAAACATCAGGCGTGGGCGGTTTGGCAGCGCCAGGAGTTTGCATGGAGGTGCAGCAAGCGTGCGTGCGTGCATGGTGGGAAGGAAGGAGAGAGGAGGAGGGCGGGAGAAGGGGAGCCAGCTCCTAGCCCCAGAGTGGCTATTTTTAGCCTGGCTATCTGATTGTTACCGGTGCGCACTCAGCTGGGTGTCTCCCTGGCTCAGTGAAGCCCAGCAGGCTGAGAGGTGGGAGGTCCTTGCTGATGACTTCTTCCTGGTGTAGGTGTCTGTGGGCGGGAGCTTGCAAAAGGGTCGCTTTCAAGGTGTGAGGGCAGCTGTACTCAAGATCTGTTACCTCTGTGTGTGACTTTGTGCTCTGTTGGTAATGTGTGCTGTGTAGCTAGCTAATTGTGCTTTCTGTGTTTGTGGGACACTTTTTATGTGTTAGTCTCACATCTCTTCTTTGCTGGTTGTTATATGTCATTTATGCTTGGGATATATCTAATATGCTTCATGTGCACGTGTGTAGGCTGAAAAGGGCGAGTGCTCAAATATATCGAATATGACATTTTTAAAAGTGTTGGTGTGTTTCATTAGTGTGTATTTCTGTTTACTTAGACTTTTTCTTAACATGTTCGCTTGTCTTTCTATAGATGTATGTAAATTATAATGTGTCACAGAATTGGAGAATAGACTGACGGATTTTGTCTGTTTTTTAAAAATTATTTTTACATAGTTTTAAAATGTTATGTTGTAGGGCTTTAAGTAAGGAGAACAGTGGGAATAGCTCAGTTTGGTGGGTGGTTTGATTTCTCTTTCAGTCCTGCATGAAGGGGGAGGCCTCTTGGTCATGTCCCACATTAAGATGTAGAATAAGTATCAGTTTATCATCTGGTAGATGATTGGTGATATATCCATTTCCGGGTTTTGGGAACACCTGGTTGAAGGCTGTCCCATGAGTGGAATCTCCTATGGAAATTATAGCTGGAAGAAACTGTTACTTCCTTTTAGGCACTAGAATTTCAGTATTATTTGCTGCCAGTAATCAGAGGTAACTATTCTGTTTTCCTCTTCCCTTTTGTCCTCTTCTTTGCAGAACCCAGAAGAACCATGGCTTCTGACCTAGAGAGTAGCCTCACCTCCATAGACTGGCTCCCCCAGCTGACCCTCCGAGCTACCATTGAAAAGCTGGGGAGTGCCTCCCAGGCTGGGCCTCCAGGGGGCAGCCGCAAGTGTCCACCAGGCTCACCCACAGATCCTAATGCCACCCTGAGCAAAGATGAGGCAGCAGTCCACCAGGATGGCAAACCACGATACAGCTATGCCACCCTCATCACCTATGCCATCAATTCCTCACCAGCCAAGAAGATGACCCTGAGTGAGATTTATCGCTGGATCTGTGATAACTTCCCCTATTACAAGAATGCTGGCATTGGTTGGAAGGTAGGATGGTTTCTATAACCAGGGATTATTTTCAGCCTCTGACAACCTTTTTCTCTACTTTTGTTTGTTTCTTTTTTTTTTTTTTAAAGATTTTATTGGGGAATTGGGGAAGGGGAACAGTGTTGGGGAATTGGGGAAGGGGAACAGTGTTGGGGAATTGGGGAAGGGGAACAGCCAAGTTGTTGTCCTTCAATCTTAGTTGTGGAGGGTGCAGCTAGCTCAGCTCCAAGTTCAGTCGCCATCTGGCCACCTGTAGGCAGCTCGCGGCTGCTCAGCCCAAGGTACTATGTTGAATCTTAGTTGCAGGTGAGTGTAGCCCACCATCCCATGCGGGAGTCAAACTGGAAACCTTGTTGTTAGGTGCACGTGCTCTTCACCAGCTGAGCCATCCTGCCGCCTGTTGGCAGCTCAGCAGCAGCTCAGCTCAGGTGCAGCTCACTGGCCCATGTGGGAATCGAACCGGCGACGCTGTTGCTCAGAGCTCACGCTCTTAACCAACTGAGCCACTCAGCTGGCCCTCTACTTTAGTTTCTTCCTATAGCCTCATCCAGTTCACTCTGACCTGTCTCAGAGATGTGGTAAATGCTTTCATAAGGTATATCAGGGGGAAAACTCCAGTGATACCAAGCCTCTAAGTATAATTATGTGGATGGCAGGATGCTGTTGCTGATCATTTCCTCTTATCTTCTGACTTCCTAAATAGGAGATTCATTTATTTCACAAATACTTGTTGCCACTGTACTATGTTCAAGTCACTGTGCAAGGCATGACGTTGTTCCTTCCTACCTAGTGGTAGGAGTCTCACCAGATTTCCAAAACTTCACTGCATATAGTCATCATCTTTTTAAACTATTGTTTACTGAGAAAAAAATAATTAGGTCCTTCACCAACAGCAACACAAGCAAGTCATGAGAGGATAAGTTGTTTGGCTAGAGGTAAAAAAGAAGGGGGACTCTTCCGAATAAAGGAGGAAGACTGATGTTCTCAGTCTTTCGGAGCAGCAGTTCATTTGCTAATTGCTGAGTAGAATGGGGATTTAATGTACAATAGTTCTCTCACTCTCTGAATCACCAGTGGATGTACAAACCAGAAGATGAGCTGGAGACTTGCAATCATTCAGTTTTTTCCTTTATAAATGTGTCCCTGCTAGCTACCACAACCCCCAACACATTTACGCAACATTTCTTTCCTCCAAATGTGACCATGGTATGAGCTGTTGACGAAGATGAGCTGTGCCTTTGTTTCACTCATAACTTGTATGTGTTATCATTTGTATAACCAGTTTTAAAATAGTGTGCCTTTACTACAGATAGAATAATAATAGGAACTGGGCAGATGTGATTTTGAGGCCTTTATATACCTGTTGTTAGTCGGGTGGAAAGATTGAAAAACTGTATAATCAGCTTTCCAGAAGTACTTGGTAGTCAAATTTGTAGCTATTACTGCTCATCAATATAATTTCTGCATTTTTCTTATCTCATTGAGTTTGCTATGTGATAGGTAATCTCCTCCATCAGTAGAGTTGAGAGGTGATAAGTTTACCCTGTTATTTGAACTATATTGTGTATTATGTCCTATTGTGTCCCTCTGTGTCCTATTGGAAATTTTTCTGCTTTGCACAGGGCTCAAACCTAACTTGTTTCTGTGCTTCTCCAGAATTCAATTCGGCACAATCTTTCTCTCAACAAGTGTTTCCGGAAGGTGCCCAGACCGCGGGATGACCCTGGGAAGGTGAGAGACTGCTGTAAGCACTGAAGGGAGGAGCAGGAAGGGGAGAGAAGTAGTTGACAGCCCAGAGTCTTGTGGTGGTTTTAATTACCCAGAAGAGGAAATCGTGTTAATTAGAGAAGCAGCTTTATTTTTTCCTCAGAGGAAGAGCTTGGTAATCAAGCTTATGGGCTCCCACTAGAATGAATGACTAAGAAAAACTGTGAAATCTTTTTTTTTTTAACAAATATTTCTGATAAAGTTGACCTTGCCCCCTCCCCCCTTTTTGTGTGTGTCATTCTTTCTAGATGTAAAAGGTGGACTTAATAACATTTGTAGGAATGTTTCTATACAAAAATCCCATGATTTTTATCTTCAGAGGGAAGAAGGGCTAGATCATTCTCTTCATTTGACAGATGTGGGTGCTAAAAGCGAAGAGAGCCTTACCTCAGATCACATGGAAGGGAAGGGTTGTGCCTGGCATTTCCAGCCCTTTGAACTAGATACCATTGTTCTGCCTTTCCAGAACAATTCGGGCCTGTGTTTGCACCACAGGGGCATCTCTGACATACTCTGAGCTTTTAGGACAAATTTACTCCTCAAAAGTTGCCAGTACCCTCAGGATTCTGAGTGAATCTCCAGTCATTTCTCTTAATATAACTCATTTTATGTGAAAATTCTCCCAAATATCTGTTTTTTCAAAAGTGGGAATTTCCATATTAAATGATTTTTTTTCTTTTGTGGTGCTGGTTCTCCTAGGGCTCTTATTGGACAATTGACACCTGTCCTGACATCTCCCGAAAGAGAAGACACCCTCCAGATGACGATGTAAGTCCCCGCCTCATGGAGAGATGTCATTTCTGAGCTAGCTGCTCCTTCCACATTCTTTCCTGTATTTTCAGTCCTTTCTTATATTTGGGGCAAAGGACAAATACCAACAGAGGTGAAACCATGGGTCTTGGGAGGAAGTTTAGCTTCTGCTCATGGATTTCTATTCTTTCACAACCCTCAGCTATCCCAAGACTCACCAGAACAGGAGGCAAGCAAGAGCCCCCGGGGAGGTGTTCCAGGGAGTGGAGAAGCCTCACTGCCTCCTGAGGGGAATCCTCAGATGTCACTTCAGAGCCCCACATCTATCACCAGCTACAACCAGGTAGGAAGTACAGGTGGCAGGGGGCACAGGGACGGGCGGATGGATGGATGGTGGAATAGATTCATATATCTGTCAGTTCAAAATTATGTATTGAGTGTGATATAGTAGTCAGATAAGATGGGAGAGAAGGGGAAAGCAAAAGGGGGAAGCTAAGAGAAAGAGGGTGAGGGAGAGAGAGATAGATAATAGAACTTTGAGAAAGGTCAGGAAAAAAAAGAGGTGAGATGAGAGGAAAGAGAGCCAAAAAGGTAATGAGAAGGCAAAGTAGGAAGTGGATGTAGCATAGGAAAAGGGCAAGAGGCTACATCAGAGAAAAATGAATTAGAAAAGGAGATAATGATACTTTTTCATGGAAAAGTTGGGAGGGGATGAAGACAAGCAGGAGAGCTGGGTAACCATTACAGGGTTGTGTTGGTCTCTCATTTAGGACATGGATCGAGTCTTTCTGGCCTCTTTTTGCAGGGCACAGGATCTGCGGATGGTGGAGCAGTGGCTGCAGGGGCTCCAGGTCGCGAAAGCACTGAGGGTCCCCCTCCCTTGTATAACACCAACCATGACTTCAAATTCTCCTACTCAGAGATCAATTTTCAGGATCTGAGCTGGTCCTTCCGCAACCTCTACAAATCCATGCTGGAGAAGTCCTCTTCTTCCTCCCAGCACGGTGAGACTGCAGTTGGGATAGGAATATGGTTGTCCTTGTATTTTTGAACAGGTGGTGACAGTCTCTTCTCTCCCTTCTTATTTTTATTTATTTATTTTTTAAAGATTTTATTGGGGAATTGGGGGAGGGGAACAGTGCTGGGGAATCGGGGAAGGGGAAGAGACAAGTTGCTGTTCTTTTCTTCTTCAGTATAGCTGTGGAGGATGTCGCTTTACTGGTTCATGCTGGTATTATCATTGCGCTCTTCTCGGGAGAGGCAGATCAGTCGCTGGCCACTGGATGGCCGCTCACGGCGGCTCTTGGCAGCTCACACCAGCTGCCAGCCACTCACGGTAGCTTATGGCAGCCCACTGCAGCTCCACTGCAGCCTACCCCGTCACCGGCCACTCACGGCAGCCCAGCTCCAAGTCAAGCTGTTGTTCACCATCTTAGCTGTAGAGAGCACAGCATCACTGGCCCTCATGTGGGATCTGAACCAGGGCCCTGCTGCTCAGAGCCAGTGTCCCAAGCCAACTCTTAACCAATGCGCCACTCAGCTAGCCCTCCCTTCTTATTTTTAACACAAGGAGAGATTGAACACTGGTTGGGGAAACATGTCATCAACCAAAACTGCTTAGAGTTGAGCTCTTCTGGCTTAGTTCTGAAGGACAGCTGTTTCACGAGTAAGGGTGGGTTATTAGCTTCAGAAAATGAGTTGTAGGAATCCCCCTGCTAGAACTAAGGGCAGTGATTTTATGGCTGCAAGCAAGTCATGTAGAGAATGGCCACTAGGGGACAGCAGTCATCCTTTTCCCCTAAGAATTCCTGTGTTTCATTGTGAGAACAACTTAATTTTATTTTTTAGTATATTCATGTTAATTTTTATTAGGAATTATTTCAAACAGATGAAAAAATAGAGAAAATAGTGTTATAAAACCTTATGTTTCCATAGCCCAACTTTAACAGTTACCAATATTTTGTTAAGCTTGTTTCATTTACCACCTAGCTTTAAAAAAAAAAAAATTGGAGTAATTTAATGCAGTTTCCAGACATGCCATTCTACCTGTAAATACTATTTCAATATGCATCCTTGATGATAAAGCCTTTTTTTTACTTACTCATTTCCATTATTACACCTAACAAAATAATGAGCTTTTCTAACATCAGTTTATATCTTGCCCATACTCAATTTCCCAAATTATCATGGGAGAATGATTTAAAGTCCTTATTGGGAGGTTCTTTGAGAGAGCACTTGGTTCAGCCCTCTGTAATTCCTGTTTTTTGTTTTGTTTTTAAAGAAATTAGAGGTGAGGGTGAAGTCCAAATTTCAGGTGAGTCATTAGACCTTCTCATTCTGTACTGTGGCCTTTTATAAGTAGCAGGAGAGGAATGGAATGCTTAAAAGTGGCTAGGAGTCATCTTGGGGAAAATTTACATTAATTTTCATGAATTTCTTCTTTTATATCCCAGAGAATTCATACCTAGAGTTGTATTCCAAGATTGTAGCATTTGCCTGAGAAATGAGCCCAACACAGGTGGTTGGTTGAGTTAGAACTGGGGAACATGGAGGGGCTCTCAGCAACAAAGTAAGAAATTAGATTGAGGGCTGGCCAAGTGGTGTGTTGGCTAAGAGTTGGCTTGGGACGCCAGCTCTGAGCACCAGGGCCCTGGTTTAGATCCCACATGAGGGCCAGTGACGCTGCGCTCTCTACAGCTAAGATGGTGAACAGCAGCTCAACCTGGAGCTGGGCTGCTGCTGTGAGTCGCCTGCAAAGGCGTAGGCTGCAGCCCCTGCTGCAGTGGGCTGCCGTGAGCTACTGTGAGTGGCCAGCAGCCAGCGTGAGCGGCCGGCCAATGGCTGGCGACCGATCTGCCTCAGCTGGGAAGAGCGCAATGATCACAATACCAACATGGGCCAATGAAGCAGCGTCCTCCACAACTAGACTGAAGAACAAAAGGACAGCAACTTGTCTGTTCCCCTCCCCCAATTCCCCAATAAAATCATAAAAAAAAAAAAATTAGATTGAGTAAGGACAGTTAACTGTTCACTCAAATTTAATGGTGGCTGAAAGCCCATAGCCTCAATCTTTAGTTCTTCAGTGCCCAACCTGTTTGAGAAATTCATCCATCCCGACTCCACTCCTCACCGAAGCTCCATCTGTTGGTAGTGAATACAAGAAGGCGGTAAGAGCAGAAGGGTATAGAGATGATAAGGAAGAGGAGAAATTAGGTGCCCAATGTCTTTGTTTTATTTATAATTTGCTTTTAAACTTTACCTGATGTCTAGTTTCTTTTGAAACTGTGATTACAGGCCTACACCAAAGTTCCTGTAAAAAAGCATAAAAAGGTACATGCGGCCCTTTTTTGCTAAGATTTCAGTGGTCACCATGCTGTTAAGTCCCTCCCCCTCTTTGTTTTACCAACCAGGGGGCCAGGGGGATCCGCGCTGTCCCAGAACACCCTTAACCTTTGAAGTCTGTGGTTTCTGTCTGAGGCCGCCCACCTCAACCCAGTGGAAATCCTGTTGAGTGAAAACTGCATCGCCCAAGTCACTTGCTTGCTTCCTCCCTCCCTGCAGGCTTCTCGTCTCTCCTGGGGGACATGCCGCCCTCTAACAACTACTACATGTACCAGCAGCAGCAGCCACCACCGCCACAGCAGCCGCCGGCACCGCCACAGCCCCAGCAGTCACAGCCACAGCAGCAGCAGGCACCAGCCCAGGGCCCCTCAGCTGTCGGGGGTGCGCCTCCACTGCACACCCCAAGCCCAGATGGTTGTACCCCACCAGGGGGCAAGCAAACAGGGGCCGAAGGCTATGGGCCTCCCTCTGTGATGGCCATGCACCCACCCCCACTGCAGCATGGAGGCTACCACCCTCATCAGCACCATCCCCACTCCCACCCTGCCCAGCAGCCGCCGCCACCACAGCCACAGGCACCAGGCCAGGCTCCTATCAACAGTACTGGTTTTGGTGAGTAAGGACGGTGCAGGGAGAGCCTAGAGGAGGGTGAAGGACCTCCTTGTTTGGACTCTGGCTTGGAGGTGCAGTTGATTAAGAAGTTAATAGTGAGTCTTTTAGCTTCGCTCCTCCATGAGAGCTCATATGAGCTAACAGAATTTGCTATTTCAAGCTCTATATTATAGAATTCTCGGAGAAGTAATTGGGATTGTTTTACATATTCTCCTGCCTATGAGCTGGGCTGTCAATACCTGAAGCATAGATAGCTTTACTAGGCCAAAATCTCCAGGGAGAGAGATTCCAAAATTATCTTGGTAATGCTGTTGATGACCTGTGTAGACACAAGAATCTTGCACATAGTCAGTCTGCTCTCAGTTGACTTGACTCTATTTTATTCCCTACTTTGCCCTCCTCTTTCCAGCTTTTCCTCCTGACTGGTGCTCCAGTATCGACTCCTTAAAGGAAAGTTTCAAGATGGTGAATAGGCTCAACTGGTCCAGCATTGAGCAGTCACAGTTCTCAGGTTAGTGATCAAAGGATGATGACTGGAAGGAAGAGGGATATGTTGTAGGTGGGCAAACCCAATACACACCAGAACCAGAAGGGGATGGGTAAGTGAAGTTTGAGGACTGAGGATTTCATTGTTTTGCCTCCATATTTTATAAGGCGGATAATATTGATATTATTTGCAAATTAATAGTAATTAGTTTTGTCTTAAAATATGACAATGATTTATCATAGCTAATTCTGTCTCTGGGAGAGGGAAGGATCTCAGGAATTCAGAAGCCTTGGACCACTATTTTATAATTTTGTCACCATTTACTGGCAGTGTGACCGTGGCTAATTCACTCAGTCAACTTTGAAATTTTGTTTTATTCATCAGTAAGATGGAAATTATAAGAATTTAGTAGCGAACAAATAGAATGAGAGTTTGATAATGTAGATGCCAATTATTATTGATAACGCATATAATCAATGGTGTTGATTTATGATGTGGTTGGAACAGCGAGATGGGATAGACCTGGTAGGGGCTCTGGGGCCTCTGCAAGGTTAGCATTTCTTGCTTCTCTGTTTGTAGAACTGATGGAGAGTCTGCGACAGGCAGAGCAGAAGAACTGGAGCCTCGACCAGCATCACATTGCCAATCTGTGCGACTCCCTCAACCACTTCCTTACTCAGACTGGTCATGTGCCCCCCCAGGGGGGCTCCCATCGGCCGCCAGCCCCTGCCCGTATTGCTGACTCCTGTGCCCTCACCAGTGGCAAACAAGAGCCAGCCCTGAACCAAGGTACTGAACAAAGCAAGTGGCCAAGGAGGTGGAGACTGTGAGGAAATGGGAAGGGGAGGAGAAGGGCAGAACAGAACTGAGAAAAATCATCTAATGGGCAGTGATCCACACTGAGCAGTGGGACTAGTTTGTTCACCACGTTGACTGAACATCTGTTGTATTGATAGTCTCGATACTGAAAAATGCCAAAGAAATACACCGTGTGATTCCTTCTTAGACCTTGATTTTGGAGATTGGGATTACTTAAGAAAAGGGAGGAGAAAGGCTCCATTCCGAATTTGTGTCTCGGTTACCCCTACCTGGATCATATCAAGTGGAGCTGGGATCCTCTGCCGTTACGTGATCTTCAAACCAGTGACATGAGAGAGCTTCAGTGATCCTGCTGCTATATTTGTTATCCTTCTAATAGTTATGATCTTCCACAATTCTAGTATCTGGTCCCTTTTTACACTAAGTGGTAAGGACTGACAGCTTCTGCGGGAGCTGCAGAACAGGGCAGGGAAGGGAGAAGAAATTAAGGGGAGGAAGAGCACTGTTTTTCCGCTCTCTGTTGCACCCTGCTTCATTGAGTATAATGATCCTACTCAAGTAACTCTTGTCTTATTTGGCAGTGAACTCTTATGGGCACCCACAAGCCCCCCACCTCTACCCTGGCCCATCACCATTGTACCCAATTCCCACCCAGGACTCAGCAGGATACAATCGCCCAGGTAAGAGCCAGGAAGCTTGTTGCACCACCAACCAAGCACTTTCTACCCTGATAAATTGTTTCGCTTTCTTCTGGGTCTGAGCCTGCATCTTTGCCTTTTTGACTGTACCTACTGCCTAGGGTGAGCCTTCATGATTGCCAAGGCTGAAGGGTGGGCTACCTCCTAGGGAGACTAAAGACCGAATTACTTTAAAACTTAGTCATGGGAGACTAAAGACCGAATTACTTTAAAATTAGCTGGTACCTGCAACAATGAAAGGAATTCAAAGCATGAATGTAAACAAAAGATGGATATGTAGAACATTTATGTCTAACTTTAGAATCTAGATGAGGTATATACTCAGGCAAATAAAATGAACATGATATGCAAACACACCTGGTTTGTACCCTTGTCTGCTTTCCTGTCGCCTGCCCTCTGCTATCAGGGGTCTGGAATTAAACTATCTCTGATGGTAGGAGTGGCAGAGGAGACTCTTAAATTACCATAAATAGTACAAAATGAACAGATCCTTCACCTTTAAATACATTTTAGAAAAATCACTAATATCATCCTTCCAGACCACATCACATCTGACTTTGTCCATGTACTCCTAATCCATATAATACATACACAATTTTTTGTACTGCTATTTCATATAATAGTACATTTTGTATGTTTTCTGTCATTAGATAGTCTTCATAAGTGTAAGTGTTAATGGTTGTATACTATTTTATTGCCATGGGACCTAGTTTACTCTAGTTTATTTCCTGGGGCCTCACTAAAGTGGTGGCCAGCAACAAAAGTAACTCTGGGCTGATAAGGACAATAATTTCACCAGACAATTCTCAAGGGATTATTTGGGGTTGAGCACTGTCCATTTAACTAATAGAATAGCTTCCCATCCACTCTCCTTTTAATCTTTTTCTTTCTTCCTGACAGGACACCATATGGTCCCTCGGCCACCGGTTCCACCTCCTGGTGCCAATGAGGAGATCCCTGATGACTTCGACTGGGACTTGATCACTTAGTGCATCATAGAGTGTGGCTGTCAGCCCAGGGCTAGGTGGTGAAGTCTGGCAGTGGGCAAAGAGTAGCCCCAGCCCATCCCTTCCCCCCCTTGCCTGTATATAGATATATATCCTCTTTTTTTTTTTCTTTTCTTTGTCAGAGAAGCCACCGCAAGATGCTGCCGAAGATAACCCCTTTCCTGCCTCATTCTTCCTTTCCCTTCTTGTTTTTTCCCCCTAATCGTTTTATCATTATTCTTATAATATTATTATTATTATTGGTTATATGCTGTCCCCAGTCTCCTGTCCCTACACTATTGACCATGTCCACCCCTTGCTAATTTAAAATCATCTGGCTAGAAGGTGAGGCCATGGTAGTTACAGAGAAAGGTTTCAAATGGATTTACCTGTCTCTCTGAGAAGGTCAATGCTAATCCCACCTTTTGGCCCTAAATTGTTCTCTGTTCTTATCAATTCAGTCCAGGACTGGATCGGCCACATTATCAAGTAGAAGGGATCTCAAACACTGCTTGGCAGCCATGACTTTGCAGGTTTTACTCAATGGTGCTAATTTTGTCCTCTGAGCTCTTCCTTGTTCCTTCATATCTTTAAACCTTACTTCTGCCAATCCTCATTCCCCATCAAGGGTAAGAGTGATGGTGGTGGTGCCGGAGGGCGACAATAAAATCCTAGTGAAATAAGAGGCCTGAGTTGAGTCGAGTAGAATATTGCAGAGAGGTGATGGAATGAAATTGGGTTTATAATACTATGTCAAATAAACGTCCATTGACTTACTCCTAGCCCATTCTCTATGGAAGACAGAGTGGGTCTGAACCAGTACTCTGCTGCTACGGTAGGGATGAGGACAGCTATTCATTATAGGGCCAGCTTTTTGGAGATGTTTTCAATTTTACCATTTTGCCTTTTTAAACATAATTTTCTCTGATAATTAGCTGTGGCTCTTATTTGCATTTACAAATTGTCCTTCAACCCCCTTTTCCCATTCAGCAAATATTATTTTGGTTGTTTGCTCAGCTCTTCTACCGACTTGATTTCCTTCCCCCATTTTCTGGCATTCTCAAGATAGACAAGTAGCCCATTATCACTCTTACTTTCCTCATGTCCTAGGACAGGATGGGAATCTCTTTCCCACCTACCAGCAGAACAAAAGCTAGTTGGTGGTAAGAGGGTGGGAGAAGGAAAAGGGAGCTGGTATAGATACGGGTAGGGAATATTTCAGTTGTTTAACTACATAGGCAAATGCTTCTCTTGGAATCCAGATCATTGGGGCTGAAGCTTTTGCAATAGGCTATTGAGGGGTGAAGGAAATTGGTAGTGTGGAGTGTATAATCTAGAGGGAAGAGTTCAATGAGGGCCCAGGGAGACCCCCCCCCACCGAGAAAAAGGTATAGGGATAACTTATCTCCTTTAAGAAGTGGCCATGATTTATTGCTGCAAAGTACTTAGTGTATATTTAATGTTAATTTTTGAATTTTAATTATGGGAGGGAAGAACAATTTTACTTCTGTTGCTATTTTACTGAATGTTTACTTTCTGAAAGCTGTAGGACAAAATGTATGGAATGGACAAGGCCACTCTCTCAGTGATTTTTGCTTTTCATATTCTTTTATTTACTGACGATTTCCAAGAGATTTAGCTTTCCACTCGCCTGCTTTTTCTCCTCATCCACCCCTTCCTTTCTTTGTAAGGGGCTTATTATATATGAAAGTTTGTTGAAGAAGTCCAGTGAGGCTGAAGTAAAGGGGCAAGAAAGGGCGGTTGACTAAAGAGCACTTTATTTCTTTGAAGTTCTTTGTATTAGATGGGGGTATGAGTGGCTTGAATTCCCCATTGTGTTGGAGGGCAATAGTGGGGGTGAAGTATGACATAATATTTCCCATTGGGGAAAGGAAAATTTCTCTTAGAGGGTGGCAAAATGCCTTTTGCCCAGTGTTCCTATTTTATGCATCTCTTCCTTATTCCTTCCAATCAAGGTGCCTCCTGCACACAACTTCCCATATGTTCTCCCTAAGATGCCTCCTTTACATATTATCACTCCCCTTTTCTAACCCCTTTTCTACTCAGATCCAGACAGGGTTTTCAAAGGTAGACTAAATCATACATGTAAATGTCCCTTGTTTATAATTCATCTGTGTCTTAAGAAAACTCGTCTCATTAAGAACTCTGGCGGGCAGCCAGACTAACTAAAATTTGGGGCTAAGGTTGGAGATTGGCCATCAGGCCTCCTGGGATTTTAGCTCCCCTCCACTAAACTCAGCCTTGTTCAGTGGCACAAACTTGACCCTCTTTGGGCCTCAGTCCCCCCCCGCCCCCCATGAAATAGAAGAATACTACTTTTTCTTGTTGGTTCAGCATTGCTGGACTTGAAGTATAGTCGTCGTTGTATTGGGTGATGTGTGCAAAACTGCAGGAATTCACTGCCTGCAAGCGGGCATAAGGGAGAAAGTGGAGGAGAAGGACAGAGGAACAATTACTTGGTATAGATCCACCCATCCCTGCTTTCCTCTCTTCAACCCCTATGTTTCTGGTTTGGTGAGTCTCTCATACCACCCATAATGCTTTGCATTGGTGCAGGCTGGGAAGGGGGGTATGGTCTCACAAGTTGTTGTTGTTTTTTGCATGCTTTCTTAATAAAAACAAAAAAGAATGTTTATGGTTTTATCTTACTAGTGCTGGCCTCAAATTTATTTTTGCCAGGGTAGGAAGGGAGCAATGGGAAGCATTTGTTTTCAGCTAGTATTTTGCCCCTCCCCTACCTCACACTACAGGGTTTGATTAGGTGACTAAAGTGTTTTCTAACGTTGGTGGGAGAGGAGAATTTGAAGCATTCCCCTTTTCAAATGCTATTAAAAATAGTGAAATATCATTGCAAAAGGCATTCACCCTTTGCAGCTTGGTGTGTGGACAAGGCCACCTTCTTTGCATTCTGGGATATTTTGAAGATTAAAGATACTACAATTTGGGAAGGAGACGGGTTCCCATCTTGGACTTCCTGTGAGTACTTACAGGTACTCGCCATAGTTTTTCATCAGAAATGAGGGGATTCTAACTGTAGGAATTTTTTCAGAATACACTTCAAGGCAAATGGTACTCTTAGAAGGAGTCCAGAAATGCCAACTATTGAATCTTTGTAACTATGCCAGGTTCATTCATTCTAATATCCTATACATTAACCCCAGGAGTTTGGGCCTTATACCCAAGGTCTTATGAGATCCGTTGGGATTTCCAGAAGCCTAGTTAATTGTCGTTATAGCAGGCCTACAGCTACCCACTATCAGATTTATTTGCTGCATATTTAGAGATTATGATATATTCCGAGTATCAAACAATTAAAAGGATCCATGAATCTCTCAGCCTTGCAAGGAACCACAAAAAAGAAAGCATTTATTTTCATCAAATACATAAGCGGATTGAATTGAAAGTTAGCACTGCAAATTTACATCATATCAGACATTACCTTACAAGTGAAAGAATTCCTAGTTATTTGAAATTTAGTGTACAGCACTTAATAACAATTTTATAGTTCAGACCCTCACCTCAATCGCTGCAAGATTAAAACGTTTCATTTTCTATTTTTAGTTGAATCATTGTATTCAGCTTAGATGAAGCTATGTTGTAGTACAGACAAACCTGAAATTTTAGAGGTTTAACACATAAAGGTTTATACACACAGAGAAAATGAGAAGGTGATAGGGAGTTGAACAATGCTTTTATAAAATGAAAGGACAGAAGGAAAGCTATATGTGTGGTTGGAATGGATAGAGAGTGGAAGACAATGTGTGGTCATGAACTAATTAAAGTATGATGGTTAATGAATATTGGGAAACTGAATAAACAAAAATATGAATGGATAAAATTCTTCATCTTACAAAACAAGAAGTCACTTATTTTATCATGTCTACAAAAACTATCAGCATAAGCACATGACTTAGACATGGTAAATATCAGAAGAAACATCTAAAATTGTTGCATGGGTTATCTCAGAAAATGGGAGGGAGTGGTTGGGCAGAGTGGGGCAGGAAACTTCTTATATTTCATTATAACATCTTAAACTATGTGCATGTATTACTTTGGTAAAGATAAAGATTAATTTTAAAAACCTAAAGATGTATCTGGTAATTTTGGCATGAAAGGTACACAACTAAAGTCGTGTTTTAATATGTTTGATGGTGTTCCTGGAGGGTACTCAATCATTTCTCAGTGATTTGAAACTTTTGAAGTTTGTGGTTAGAAGAGGTACAAAGTCAAATGTGGAAAAAGACAGGCAGGGGACGAATGTGAGAATTAATGAGTTTAAGACAAGGAGTGGAAAGTATTATAGACGGCTCTATCAAGAGGCAGATAGACTGGGGCCGGCCGAGTGGCGCGATGGTTAAGAACTCGCTTGGGATGCCAGAGGGCCCCGGTTCGGATCCCACATATGAGGGCCAGTGACACTGCCCTCCACAGCTAAGATGCTGAACAACAGCTCAACCTGGAGCTGGGCTGCCGTGAGTAGCCGGCGACGGCGTAGGCTGCAGCTCCTGCTACAGTGGGTTGCCATGGGCTACCGTGTGTAGCCAGCAGCCAGCGTGAGCGGCCAGCAGCCAGCGTGAGCGGCCAGCAGCCAGCGTGAGCGGCCAACAGCCGCAGTGAGCGGCCGTCCAGAAACCGGCGACTGATCTGCCTCCCCGGGAAGAGCGCAATGATGGTGCCAACTTGGGCCAGTGAAGCAACGTCCTCCACAACTAGGCTGAAGCACAAAATGACAGCAACTTGTCTGTTCCCCTTCCCCCAATTCCCCAGCGCTGTTCCCATCCCCCCAATTCCCCAATAAAAATCTTAAAAAAAAAAAAAGAGGCAGATAGACTAAACAAATAGACAAGAAACTCACCAAGCGGCAGCTTACAATACCAGTTCATGAGTAAGTTTTTAGATGCCTTAGTAGTCTGTCTTTACACAAGAGATGCTTATTTAGTTGTACAAATAGAAACTTGGAATTCCTTTGTTCTGTATCCATGAGTATCCCAAATGGGAAGCATCTGGCACTGTACTCTGCTCCAGAATCAATCTAATAAGTCCTTGCTTTCGTAGACTTCTTGCACTTTGTTTTTTATCTAAAACCATCCCAATACCACCAGCAGCACAACAAAGCCATAGAATAAATGGTCATCTTTTACTCAGAACTAGGAGAAATGGTTTTTAAAATGAATCTGGAAGGGTATTTACATATACTAAATAGAAATTTTAACGATGGAAACATCATTTTAAAATAGATTAGATTCTCATTTATCTCAGGTGGCTTAGTCTGGAATAGAAATAGACTAATTTTTACAATGACTCAAATTTAGCATTCACCGGAAATAAGAGAGCTTGTTAACAACTCTGGGGCGGGGCTCGAGAATTTGTATTTCTAACAAGTTTCCAGGTGATGCTGATGTCACTAGCCTGTTTGATCACCTCCAGACTGATTCTTTGATGGTTTCTGAAATCCCCTGCTCACCATGCCCCTTGTCCCTTTAGAAACATATTACACTGGGTGGATACCTAAGAAGTCCTGCTTGGGTCAATGCATATTCTCACACAGCTCTGCTAGTGTTTGTTTCTGAAAAGGCTTTGTTTGGTGTACAGCTGGTGGAATGTGTGAGGCCCTCACTGAAAGCTGCCTCCAGAATGCCCTGCAGGGTCTGCCTTGCTTTCTTCCTAAAACCTTTCCCCATGAAGGCATAGAGGAAGGGATTGAAGCAACTATTGGCAGATGCTAGAGCAAGGGCCACAGGGTCCCAGGACAGCAGAGCTTTCCCAAAGTAAGTTTCTGGGTCAATAAACAATAAGAGGACTCCAAAAATGTGGTATGGGGCCCAGCAGACAAAAAAGACAACCACCACCACCATGGCCACTCGGAAGCTTTTGCTCCAAGACTTGGTGAAGCGGCTTCGTAGCATTCGGAAGACAATGAGGCTATAACAGGTCACCATGACAATAAAGGGCAACAGGAAACCCACCACTAGCCTTGTGATAGTTATTGTCACCAAGGGTGTTGGAACTTGATTGTCATATGCAAACTGGCCAAAATTATCATCCTGGAAATCTTGTGATAGCTCAGTCATGTATAATGAATTGCTAGAGGAACTAGAGGAAAGCTCTAAATCAGTAGAGAGGGAAGCATCAGCGTCATCTGGTGGGTTAGTTTTGTGACCATCAATGGGAAACCCACTTGGGATTGTAGGTAAGACTTCATCATCAGGTTTAAATAAATTATAATATGGATGTTGACTAGATAATCTAGCTGAATCCACAGGGAGTGAATCTCCAGGAGGTCTTTGAAATGTTGGAGAATGGAGGACAGTGGTAGCTGTCCAAGGATTATCTGTTTGTAAAGAGAAAGAATCTAACCTATCGTCCATTTCTTCAGGCAGCTGAACAATGGAGTTGTCAAGAGACCCGTTTTCCAGTAGATCAAAGGTGAAGTCCGAATAATCGTATGAGCTGTCAAGACCGAAATTGTAGCCACACATATTATGGTCGTCTATGGTGAATGTTTCCCTGTATATGAACACAGGTATACACATTACAAAAGCCACCACCCAGATACATCCACAGATAGTGAAGACTGTCCTCACGGAGCGGTGATTCTGGCACCAGATTGGCTTGAGTACCAAAAGACAGCGGTCCAGACTAATGGCAGTCAGCAGGAAGACACTGGCAAACATGTTGAGGACGATGATGGAGGGAATGAGCTTGCAGAGGAGCCAACCATACGGCCAGTGTCCTTGGAGAGCCAAGTGAACCAGGGAGAAGGGCAAGGAGAGGCAGCAGAGGAAGTCCGCCAGTGTGAGATGGAGAAACCAAACTGTGTTCACTGTCCATTGCATCTTTAGGCCAGCCACCCACAGCACCAGCCCGTTGCCTGGCAATCCCAGCAGGAAAGTGAGGCTGAGAATGACCATGGAGAGAATTACTTGGGGTTCATGCCAGGGCTGTGAGGGTAAGTCAGTTGAATTGGTCTCAGCAGAGAAAAACTCCATTGCTAAACTCCTGCAAAAAGATGAATAAAAATGTTTAAACAAACATTACCTTTTTAAAAAATGAGTATTGGAATTCTAACCTTGCCACCTAATGATGTAGAACCACAAAGGCTCTCACATTGTTTTAGTTTTTATTCCTTGACTTCATATTGGATCACATAAAAACATTCTCTGATAGACCATTTAAAAACTACTATGTCAATTTAAGTGTGTATCAAAATAATAACCTCATTTAGAAGTCCCATATCAATGTAAATTTCCCCTTTTTCCTTTGCTTTTAAGCTCTCATTCTCCACTGGTTTCTTTCCTTACCTAATGTTCCCTATTAAAAAACAAACAAATGACACTAATGGACAAACAATAACTTCTAGACCAGAGGTTCCCAACTTGAGATCCATGAAAGGACTTTGGGAAGCTCTATCACCACCTCAAATAATACGGATAATTTTAACTTTACATCTTTTCATTTCTTTGAGAGCGGAAGATCCATCCATTCCCTCCACCAGATTTTCAAAGTACTCACCACCACCGAAAAGGGTGCCCTAGACTGAGTTATGTCTTTTAGTTACAACCTCAGCTCTTCCTTTTGCTAACCAATTTCTAAAGAGTCGTTTACCCTCTTGTCATTGATTTCCTCATCACCCATTATCTCTGTCTTGTTTATTTGGTTTTTGTGACTATAGTGGAAACAACAGCTTTATTATTACAGAAGCAGAAAATATGCATACAAAATTAGAAAATATAGATAAGCAAAAAGAAGAAAATAAAAATGTCACATACCGTTAATCAGTAATTACTACTTTAGCACCTTAGTTTAGAAACTTCTGAATCTTTTTATATATATATGTGTATATATACATATATACATGTCTATACATGTATACATATATACACATATTTTTATTGTGTATATATACACAAATACACAAAATATACATCTATTTTTATTAAGCAAAATTTAACAAATTAGGTCATATTGTGCATATTTTCTTTTTTAATGTGAAATTTTTATTTTATTTTTTATTTATTTTTAAATTGGGGAATTGGGGGATGGGAACAGTGCTGGGGAATTGAGGGAAGGGGAACAGACAAGTTGCTGTCTTTTTGTTCTTCAGTCTAGTTGTGGAGGATGTTGCTTCACTGGCCCAAGTTGG